ATTTTTAAAAAGACTACCTAATTTAAAAACATAAGACATTAATGGTACCTTAAATTCAACCAACAGGTCATCTGGTTTCTAACAAGTATAAATACTATCTGATATATGTAAGGTAGTTGTTTGTGACAGATATATATTAAAAGTTTTGATTAAGATGTCGTAACTATTGAGTCAAGTGATTCTCTAAATGATGATGATGATTGTTGACTGATTAAAAAGAGTGATTTCTAAAGTAAGCCAAAAATTCAATCAGAATGATAAAGTATATCACTGAATGAATTCAATTGATTGTTTACAGCATATCACCATGAGTTGGCATCGGTTAGAGAACCATCAGATTAACTAGGAGTGCTGGATAGCTGTTTCGTCCTGGCTTGAGACTCCTCATCAGTACGCACCCACTGGCATACGAACCCAGGACTCTCGGATTACAGGGCGACCTCGTAGACCACTGGCCACTGGATCGGGTCCCAGTGGCTTAATGGTCTACGAGCTCACCTTGTGACCAGAAGGTCCTGGGCTCGAACCCTTCACGGCGGGTGCGTTCTACCGGAGAGTCACGAAAGGGGACGAAACAGCTCTCTGGTACTCCTAGGTTTTCTGATGGTTCTCTAACCGATGCCAGCTAGTGATGATTTGCTGTAACCGACCACTTGAATTCATTCATTGAAATACTTTATAAAAGAATAGTAAGAAATATTTAATGCTAGGTGGCTGATATTGTGCTAGTCCAGTATTCTTAAATTTACTTAGGATAAAGTCTATCTCCAGTACTCCGTGATTTTCAACGGTTTGCAAGCTGACTTCAATCTATGATATAAACCTTCGCCAAATTTCTGACCATATCTAGTTTGTATTGATAATTTGGGTTCTCTACAATTAAATATGACTGTTTTCAAATGTAATAATAAAAACTACAGTCAACTATTCATTTACTGTTTGGAATGTAATTAATCAATACTGACTGATTGAAGTATTCTTACAGTGATAATTGATAAGTAGTAATTTATGATATGGTTGGATGGTGAATACACACAAGATATGAAGCTTTTTTAAGTATCGATTTGCAGAGTTTTGATTTATTTCAAGTACTCGCTAATGACTGACTACAGGATGAAGTTGCCTGTAATTCTGGTGGGAAGTTATGACCAGTTGGGGCCACAAGGGTGGGTGTGAAGACAGATACTTACCAATGACTCTGGCTGGCGGATGAGCTATATATAGCTAACTGGTAGATGTTAGAATTTATCAACTATTTGATTCTGTTACAGTTACTGAATGGTCAATGAGCTCACCTTGTAATGTGAAGGTACTGGGCTCGAACCCTGGTGGAGTGCGTGCTGCTGAATAAACCTAGGCAGGCACAAGGCAGTCGTCAAGTAATCCATGGCTTTCGTTGGTTCTCTAACTGAATTGAGTTTGTGGTCAAACTTGAGATATGGATTTATTAACAACTTGCATGTCATTGGAATGCATTTCTTAAAAGTAAAATGGGTAGTTATCAGAATGAATGACAAATCACCTGATTACCTAACACTATAAATTGTATACTTGATGAAGTGAAGCACTCCAAGACCCAAAATATTATAACATTTATTAAGTGGGAAAAATGGGTGTTATTAGGTAGTCATGGGTAATTTTAATTACTTGTGTACATTGATGGATTTCTGTTTATCATAATACCCTCTGCACAGAATAATGTAGAATGTTTAGGGTATGATAAAAACAGTTACGGCGTTGGAAACAAGAAACTGCTACAGTTTAAGAAATTTAGCTTCATGGGTAAATGTTTTTAATCGCATCACGTAGTTTAAGAAATCTATTCACGTGTAATCATTTACTACTGAGATTATAACAGTAGCAAAGATGTTTACACTAAAATAATTGCAGTTCATATATGCAATTTGGTAGTATGTAATTCCACCAAATGAAAATACGTATAAGAGGAGTGATTCAACACCCGTTCACCCGGACATCTGGAAAACTCTACTACCCCTATGACGAATAGGAAAGAATAACGAAAACTGTAAAACAAAAGTTTCGAAGTTGTGTTGTTATAAGTGATATGGTTATGAACAACAAATTGTGTTCGAAAGGTCATCTATTAGATAGTACTGTTTCACTATGTGACATATCTAATAAACAAATTAATATGGAGGTAACTTCATTTCACCCTTCAGCCATTTAAGCAAACAGTCCCTGCTATGGACAAGAAATATTTATGCGATTAGTTGATTTTTATTATATCGGTGGACAACCCTTTCATAGTGACATATAAGGCAAGGTGAAGTCGTTAAAACGGTCTCTGCTTACAACTGAAACTTTGCTTTATATTAGGAAAACTCCTATCAATTCTAAAGTATTTTACTCACTTCTTCTTAATACGACGTCTTTTTCAGACTAGCTGTACAACAATTCTGTACGTAATCTATATTCACTTCGTTTTTAAACTCAAAACTTTTAAGAAGAAACTTTGTATATATCCAGTAACTCTGGCTTTTGTGAAAATTATATATTTTTCTAAATGCCTACACTTTTAATAACCACTTCTGAATACTATTCACCATTTACTGGTTAAGATTACTCAACACCGTTGTTTAACGAAGTTCTTTCATTTACAAATATGTTGTCAGTAGGGCAAGTGGTGTGCGGCTTAGTCAGCTTGTCACTGCATTATTTGGTAGATATTTAAACTCATGCGATAAATGGTCTAAATCTATATTGTTTGACCCTCAAATCCCCATCTATTCTCAACTCTCCCCTTATATGTCATCTGGTAGAACCAGAAGTCAGTACAAAAGATTATGTGCTCGTAATACCAAGTATGGAAACTCAACGATACCATATTTGGCCCGTGTTCTGTTCGATCGAGACAATGTAAAGTGTGAAACTTATGAACTGCTATGTTGTCAGCAAAATAATTGACTTTTTACTATCTCCTATTTGTAATCTATGGTGACACTATCTCTATTAACTGACAGTCTTAGCTATTAACATTATCATCATCATTTAACAACTTTTGTATGTTTATGATCTTACTGTCCCTACTAATACCAAATAAGAACTGCCATTACCAATTCTGTAATATTATGTTTACAGCTGTTTTTAACATTATTCGATAAAATTAGATGCAATATTGTACAAAAGGCTGAAAATTCCACACTGTAACATTATTACTGTTTTGGAATAAAGCAAATTATTATTACTATTTTCGTTCTCAATGACAATGACATCTAACTTAAGTTGGCATTCCCATGACCTTTCGAAACACTGTTGAAATCGGCAGATGGGAAAAGGGGTTAAGAAAAGAGTAACCCGTGTTAACCTGTCTTTTCAATCTACATGAAATAGACATCTTCATTAACTTCCTTTACAGACTCTACACATGTAGATAGTTAAATAGTATCATACAATAGACAGTTAAAGTGAACATAAAATTATGCCAGAAATTTTTTTATTGTAGACCGAGTCAAGTAAGGCTAAATATTATATATCAAAATGAATGAAGTTAATTTTGATTGTAAATTAAATGCACTGCAAAATGTACAGTTAGTAGGAATGTAGAAAAAATTGGAGTCAATTTGAATATACAATTAATGAAAATTAAAGCTTTAAGCAGTGTGCTACAATTACTGAATGGAGATAAAGTGTGAGTACAACAAGCGAATTGGGTACTGTTAACGTAAATTCAAGAGATGAACAATAATAACAATAATGTTTTGATGTAAACAGAATTTTGTGATCAGGTGAAATTTCAGAAGAACGACAGTACATGTCTAGGCTTCTCAATTAATCTTGCAGTAAATTAAAAGAAGAATACAAGTGATTAATTCTGACTGGTAGAAGGAACTGTAATTCCCTTCACTGTTGCCAAAATAATACTGATATTACAGATTAGATAAGTGATGATCATTGATGAGGATCTGATTGAAAAGTAAATATTTCTTCACTCAATCTTTATTTCTCTTAACCGTCTAAATGGAGATTTTCGCGGCACTGCATTTAAATCGTACAATTATTATCTTTATTACAGATAAAATGTTGAATATGATAACTGTTCTATCAAGTCGACCACTTCGTTGTTTCGGTTTTTTCGGAAATGGTAGATGTTTCGCATTATTCATTTGTTTTTTTTTCAGGTTTTCGCACGCGATCCACAATCTAACATATCCACAGTGACATAGTTCATGCATTTTCAAAGATCACAGAAACAACAATTACCTTTTAAAACGAATCCTGCTGGAAAATCACACAGGTTTCAGTGACAAAGAGGAAAATTAAGAACCTGCTTACAGAGAAAACACTATACATCTCGGTCTACTGAGATGAAATCTTCGTCTTTCACAACTTAACTGGTGCTACTGTGTGTTAAGGATAACCTTATCAAAATGTTTAACATCATTGGGCCAATGAGAAGTATTAAGTCAGCCATTTTTCTATTGTACTTAACATTCATTTTAACTAATTATATGACAATGTATTTCTCCTCAACAAATCACTGAAGAATCCACAAATTTTAGTGGATCTCGAAATGGGAGAAGAGTGTAACAGTTGTCATTTAGGGTCATTTTTATTGATATTTTACTCCTTTGCTATCCGAGTGCAATACTATACTTCAAGCTTAGGCTTTGAAATTTCTGTAGCAGTCATGTTTATTTTTTACTGGGTGGGGTGGCTAGCATCATACCCAACCTTTCTTCCTTGCCAGGCTTACTACGACCAGCTAAGCGACTTTAGCACTGCATCGGCCGTATATCTTATGCTAGACCACATACGTGGTTGGCTAGTATTCTATCACTCAGCCACTCATACAGTTGAGTTATTATCTTCCGATAGATCATAATGCCTTATTTTGTGGCGTCGAATTGAGAGACATGTTCTTCTAGTGCGGAAGGCAGTCAGGTGGAAATATACTATAATAGGATTAAAAGAAGTAATGAGAACTCCCTTTTTGAAGATTAAAATACCGAACAGTTTTCTTTTCACAGTGAAGTCCAAGTCTCTGCCTATCCTCATCTACCTTTCATGCGTTAATAAACCAGAACAAAGAAGAAAATAAGTAGCACTAAAATGTATTTACACAACACATTAATACAAGGATGACCTGAAGAACATACGGAACTCGAATTAAAACACAGAAATACTACAGTCAGTAAATTTCAATATTCTTATTATTTGAAATTAAACTTGCTATTCATTTGATATTGCTATCCATTACGGATGGACAACTTTCCATGTATCGATTGAGCGTAGATTTCCAATAAACCTTTTTGGTTTCTGAAACATTTGGTGAAGACTGAGAAAATGATGCATAGAAATTTCCACTAGGTAAATCTGATAAGTGTGTTCGGAAGTACTGATACGGTAACTGGAGTGCTGCACCTAAGAGTCCAAATAATCGAATAAAGGTAAAGCATAACAAGTGACCTTTGAAACTATAAAAAGAATACACTATTTCTCACAAAAAAGCCAATGACTTTTAGAAGCATGATTTCTCGATGTCACATAGGCCTTTTGGTTTGACTCAACATGTTTTTAGTTCTACCTGAAATGCATACCTCTGCCAATACCTCCACGCTATTAATTGATGAAAATTTTAAGTTTCATGTACCGGTGTTTGGAGGTAAAAACAAATATATGCCGCAACGGCTCCCCTAAAATGATGGTTACTTCAGCTACATGCGGCCTTTATCCTTCCATAGATGATACTTTGGCAATGTATCGTACGGTAAAAATCGCTAGTGTCTATTATCCTTTAACCAAATTGTAATTATGTTACGCGAATCAGAAACACTATGGAAAACAAAATCAATGAATTGGTTATGTGGAATTCGAAGTATGTTTCAGGGTCTATTTTGCCAAACGGAGAGGAGTTTCAAGCTAACTGACAAGAGTACATGAATAAACAAACATGGTGTAACAGTATCCTATAAAGGGATAATATATAATAACTTTATGAAAACTCAAACCTACTGAACTCTTCAAATTACTGGGGTGCTAATACAAGGGGCATTTTGCGTGTGATATATGTATGAAAAAATACCCAGAGTGCTCTAACGAAATGTGTATTCGAAAAGGCAACAAAAAGTTCAGTTAAATTCAATAGTCTTATAAAGCCATTAACAGGACAATAATTTTGGAGAAATATAATGAAGCTGACTATGCTTCCGTGCAATTTAAGTATGCCTATGGGTCAGAAAATAACACTTAGAAGAAAACAAATGATCACACAGTCAGTGTATTTTAACCACACATCGTGACTGGAATGACAGGAAAACCAGAATAAATTTCCCAACGGAAGGAAATGGAGGATGGAGCTAAAAACAAATAACTTGTTTGGACTAATTTCACTGAAACATTTGTAATAGCTGTTTCTTTAGTGATACTACTTGATGAAATTCAGTTAGGGTTACCATTCAGCACCGTACACCATTTTAGCCTCTCTTAAACACTCCAACTGAGCCTTAAAACATATAAACAACAGACCTACTGTATTACATTATTATTCCTTTGGGTCACGAGTGGAACGTAGAACTTCAACAGCACATATCTAAATCACTTAGTTTTCTGCAGTCTTTCGCAGCTAGCCACACTAATGTCCACAAGCTTCCATATCCTACCCTAATGACTTCCTCCATGTAACTTTTGGACACACGCCGTACTAGTCAATTCCTATTAGGATTCCACTCGAGGGTTCACCTGGCGCGTGATGTCACTCAACGGTCACCTGGATGTATATCCAATCCATTCCCATTTTCCTCCGTATATTTGTTAGATAGTAGGCTCTTAGTTGGTTTGTTGCCGGAGTCCCTTGTCGCTTATCCCTTCGGGCCATCTGACCTTTAGTATCGAGACAGCTGTTGATGAAAGCATGCAGTCTGTTAGAAATGCTCTTGGTGACGCGCGCGCACCAAGTCTCCAAGCCATACAAAAGCGTTGACTGACCTGACACTAGGTCTTGCTTCTGACTCCGAGCGCAGCAGATTCGCACAATGATTTCAGGACAATGAGGGTCTATTTCGACTTCATCGTCTGTAATTGAAATGATGCTGTCTATATATCCATGAAAAGGTGATTTCCCCTAGATTTCTCCCAGTGAGGGCGGTTGCTGCTTGTTACTGTTTGTTAAGTATCTTCATCACCTCTGTCTCTTCTCAGTCCCCATGAAGTCCTGTTTTCGCCGGTTCTCCTACTAATTTAGTGATTTTGTCCTTTAAATCTTTATTTTTGTGTGACATAAGACAAATCATCCATCAAATCCAAATATTTCAGTATAATTCTCGTGGGTCCAGTGTAAGCCTATTTCGTTGCTTCCAACAACATGTCAAACAAAACTAGGTAACTGATGATAATAAGTCAGTGTAAAAGAATAAAACTGAGGGACAAAACCAACTATCGTCACAAGACGCCAGTGATGCCGAAAGACCTACTTAGAGTTTTCCTTAGGAACTCAAATAAACCATTCTTAAGTTGAAATAGTCACTGTAAGTGCCATAACGCTAAGCCGAGCAATCGTAAACATTGAAGACTAACCAGATACTAGAAATTTAATAACACGAAAAATTTTATTCACTATGTATGATCAAGTAAAATCATATTGTTAGTCACAGTTGTCAAGCATTTCCCCATTAGAACGTCAAATACATGTCCGCTTACTTCGAAAATTGAGCTGCTTTTGGATCAGTTGCTGCAGTAAAAACGGGTTAACTATCGAGCGATTAAAAAAGAAAGCACTATGGGAATGGTACGGCAGCATCATTGATTTAATTGATCGGTGTGGGTATCCCAATCCTAATAATCCTTCAAAAGGTTGACCTGTTTTGAAGTGATACGAAGAAAAATTTACTTTACATATTGAAAGGTTTCAAATTATAATACCTGGCAGTTTAGTTTGTTCATTGATGAGTAGGTTTTGATATGCTGGAAGTGAACAAGATATGGAAATTTCACTCGGAGGTGTATTGGGAACTTGAGTATTTGTAGATGCATTTGCTAAGTAAGTAAAAAAAAGTAGACAAAGGAAAAAAGCGTACCTGTTGTGGTTGGTTTGGTGTGTAAAGTTTTAAAACTTTCTAAATTATGATTTATGCAAACATTTGCAGAAGCCGCATTAGTCTAACACATAAAGAAGAAGAGAAAACGAACAAACCATGGCCTTAAACCAACGGAGTGCCTAAATCAAAACCTTTATAATACCGTAAGTAAAACCTACATTCTGCCCTAAGGGCCCAGATGCAATAAACTGTCGCTGATATGGGGCGGTTACAGGGTTGCACGTCACATGTTTAGTAATATCACTGACTTCCAACTTCGGCGTTCTGTTTATTGAAACAAACGAACTTTCGTTTGGGATTGAAAGAGCTTCAGCATCTGAGTTTCTAGTGTCACTATTAATAAGCTTTGGCTGTGAAATGTTGTGCTTTGCTTCGTCTGAAATATTCACCTTATCGTCTGTGAAATCTGAGTGATCGATGTTAAGGTCAGGATTCTGCTTCCCTTTGTCTTGTGATGTGACATTATTAGACTTGGAAATTCGATCAAAAAAACCCAAAAGTTTGTAGAATGCACTCATATCACCCCGCTCGCTGGGTTCTGAGGGCTTAGCCTCTAACTTAGCTTCAATTTCTCTCAACGTTCTTATATTAAGTGGGCGTTCTCCTAAAATAAAATGAAATTTATTGAGAACAAACCCTGTTTTCGACATTCCTTTTTATTATTATGCAGTAGCAGTGACTTCAAGTAATCTTCCAATTCTTTCGCTAAAAGCAAACGTATAAATAAAAATCCAGTGATCTACAATGGCGATCAGTGTGTTCAGGGTCTACCAGGTGATGTGACTCATTTTCTTTCTCACCTGAGCATAAACAATTAAGGATAAAAGTGCTATCTTACCCCTAGATAATGCGTTACATTCTTGTAAATCCATATGATCCTCAACAACAGTGGGGCCATTAACATACCACTCAGGTTTATGATCAACCCAGTTGAAGTCTCGTGAAAATGATTGGCATTTAGCAGGATAGTTAACCTCCCCCATTTGTTCCACTTCGCTGACAATTGATGACTTTCGACAGCTTCTTTGAACCCTTACAATTCCAGAATCACACAAGAGAATAGAATTTGTGGTCCTTCTTATTACATTGCGCACTGTATTATTAAAGTCATTACCATGAGCTACAACTGTAAAATCAGCCTAGACATAATACCTTTACGACTATCATATCGTTTAGGTATCGCTTCAACTACACCAGATAAAGCTCCAACACACAGTTCCCTCTTAATTCTCGCGAATACATCAAAATCAGGTGGCAGTATCCGAGATTGAGGGCTATTTCTCAACCTAAGAAGATCTTCCTACAAATATAAATGAAAACTGTGCATTTAGACAACCCTTCTATAAACTCGACGAGTTGTGTGGCTCCTACGAAGTTCGACAACAGACTTTACCCCTCTGTCAATCGAAAATATCTGGGTCATAACTAAGTAACCAATAAACTACACCAGGCGCCTTTGGTGGGTTACTAGTTTCTGATGGGCCATCATTGAATAGTTCAAACAATTTTGACTTTTCGAAATGTTGATAACACTGATTCCAAGTAAATAGCAATAGGAAAACTGTTTCAATAGGGCATTTGCTTGCACTGAGGCCTAATTTTTGAAGCAAAGGGTGATGTTTTGTAGCATTGTAGAAGTTAATATTTGTTGGTTCAATTAATCGCATCGACTACTATGATTAACCTTCCTACGAGGCCAGAGAAAGTTAATGAGAGAGAAGAGAGAAAAATAGGAATTTAAGGTGACTTCTGGAATTCGGAAATGGCTAAGAGTTCTAAGGTATTTGGATTGCTTTGTGTTTCCAGATTAATAATGGTTGTTACACCAATAAATTAGAGGCCATGAAAAAGTTTCTGACAAACTTGCGCTGGCGCAAACTCAGCAAAGCATTATCTTCCTTTCATGGCTTACTGTATAAAAAGCAGGTTATTCTACTCAGAATTAGGTTAAAGTATGAGATGGTTAAGCTGATTTATTTTCGAAAACGGTCAAGTGTTAAGATAACCATGGAGAGGCGATAAATGTTCGCATGATAATTAAGTAAGAATTTCACGGATTAGCAGTGGAATATCAGTAATAATTGAGGCGCAGAACAACAAAATTTCTAGTCACACCATTTGACGAAGTGACTAAAATGATATGTAGGACCGAATATCAGTGTCATCGAAATCATTTTAGCTGTCATCATTTCCTTTTCCATTCGGACAGTTAATTTTGCAATTTCCAGTGATATTTCTAGTCCTAATCAGAAGGCAGCATACCCGTAGTCCCCTGATGGTCTCAAATTTATGAAAGCTATGATATTTGATGGCCCAAGTAGCATAAATGCAAGTTCGCTAGACGGCTGCTTGTAGTAAGTAGGCATGTTAGTTGTGATTTTACTGTATGTGATAATATCACTTCCTTTTCTGATGATGAGTGGAAGACCTTGTGTAGCATGCATTCTCAATATTCATTGACAGTTGGCGTCAACATGAGTCGGAGACGAGAGGAAATTAGCTCCTAGATCACATCCATTTTTATTTCGGTTTTGGTTTTCGTTACTGAAGTGAGTGCCACAAGTCATCTACTGTGAAGAAATATGCTTGCCTACTGGAGTAGTGATTTGTGCTAGTGATTCAGTACTTCGCCAAAATACCAGTTACCGAGGAGATTGAGATCTCAAGCGATTTTATGGAGGCCTATCCCCATTCTGAGCTTATCCCAGTATTAGCATAATTGATCATGTATGTTGTCTAGGCTTGACCACTAGTGGCCCTGAAGGTGTTTCAATGATGCCTTCAATATAGGTATTTGAAAAGTTAACGCAGTGACGTTATTTACAGTTATATATCTCAATGCCATATTTGATAATAATAATTATACTGTTGTGGAGCAACTAGGTCGGAATTATAAAAATAATTTATATTTTGAACAAACTGGTGTTTACAAGAAATGCATGCCATTTCTCTAGGCACAATCAGTTATGTTATAAATTACAATCGTGAAGTATCATAAATTAATGCTTTCTCAAAAGTCTCAACTGTTCAATTATTGTACAAGCAATCAGTACAGGTTCTTATAAATATTAAATTGTGAACCCTTCACTAAGGTCACCATCAAGGTTGAGCGACAACCCAAACTTTGTTCTATTTCCTAGTGATATTTATGGTCAGTCAGTGAACAGCGTATATTTGGGTAAGTGCTATACCGCCACGTAATTAAAAGCTATTTCAGGAAGAGAAGAATGTCGTGGGAAACTAAAAAATGGCATAAAATGCAATTATGGATAATACTTCATTGGAAGCATATCTACAAAATTTATAGAAGAAGGAGCTGGAGACACCTTAGAGTGATAACATGCATTTGCAATGTTTGACGCTAACCACATTAGTCTAAGCATGGAAACTATGTTTTCGATAAAAATGTAGCTTTATTCATACATTGATGTTGTTGTGTTTTTAGCCAAAGCAACCAAACTTTAAGGAAGCAACAAATATGAATAAACAGTAAGTTGTAGCTTTAATAAAAGCCTAGGTGGTTAAGATAAAATGGAGTATAATAGTGAGTAAATAAAAAGATTATCATGAGGCAAATAAGTGATATTTCAGTTAGAAGTGAATTCAAAGATCTGGAAGATTAGAACCCATAGGACAAGCTGACCTATCATATGCCTCACGAATTTCTATGGGGCCCAAGGGGAATTATTCGGACAAGAATTTGAGCAGACTTGTAGATGAAAGGAGCAAAGGCTTCTTTTGTAATTTATAATTTAGATCTGTACAACCCTTATTTTTTTGTTAAGGGTCCAGACTAATGTTTGATTCTCGAGCTGTCAAAAAATGCATGTTGCTGTCCTACAGGTCGGAGCGATTCACATTTGTGACCACTACCATATCTGCTTATCAGCATGCGCCACCCTCCCTCCTTCTCTGATGTTAAGCTCTGGGATGTTTACGGCGATAACTGTAGTTGCAGCATTGTATTGCTTTGGTCCCGTCTCAATCATACAGCATGCAGCACATTAGTAGCTTTCATAACAAGTGCTTCCCATCAGGTCACCACATATATCGATACCTGAGGACATTCTTAGCAGGATTGCCTTTATACATTCATGCATATACATAAGTATCTGTTACAAATGCCAAGGAAATTAAGTTTCCCTTAAAAATTTGTAAAGTATAAAAGTAGTTAATATTACAGCAACCAAGTTATGGTCTATTCAGTAGAGTTAAATGGGTAGTGGAACAATAAGTGATAAAGTTATGTAGAATGATCCTGAAGAAAACAGCTGGTTAACAGAACTATTTATACTAAATTTTCATGACCGATTTTCAAATGGTAGGCGTCAGACATTGCGAATTAACCACCCAACTTATGTTGTGCTAAAAATACAGCGAAATGTCATAAAATTATACATTTTAGAAAATTATATGAAAAAAGGTGGTTATTGACTGAGTAAAGCCATTTCGACACATTATTAACTGTATATACATGTAAAATATTAAAAGGTGTGTTTGCTAATATAACTGTCTCTAGAGTTACTTACACTAACACAATTTAAGGAAGATTATAGAGAATATTTAGAGTCGAGTTATACGTAAGTGACTACACCGAAGACTGGACCGGCTTTCATTTACCATTCTATCAATATTTCTGGTCTTTTAGACTAGCTAGAATGGACATGTTAATGTATCTTTCTGGGCTCCGTTTGAACTCATCGGGATTTTTACAACATCTAGTTTCAGGTGGTAGTTGGTTCCAAAGAGTGAAACACTTAATGGTGAAAAAGTCAGCCCTAATGGTTTTCCTGTAGGTAGTCACCTTGAGAAGGTAGTCGTGGATTCTGAGCCTATATGATTTGATATTTGTTATGATATGGATAAGTTACCGTAACAATGTTTCCCAATGACATTGAAGAGTAGAAATAAGTTGTATTTCACTCTCCTTAACCATAGGGGTTCTAATTTCAGTCGCGTATACCTGTCAACATGTTCTACCTGTTGATCAAACCATATTGTGCGGTTCGTGGGGAAGCTCTGGACACTTTCGAATTTTCCAGCCAGCAGACCTTAAGTTACTATGTATGGGAGCATAATAGTCAAGCGGCTGTGCTTCCGCTGTTTGGCGCGCGACGGCTGACTCAGAAATGGCACTCAGCAGGGGAATTTGACTGTCCAATTAAAACAAAGCGTTGCTATGTCCACTTACCGGCTATGACGCCCAGTGCTCAGAATGTGAAAGTGAAGAAATTCAAAGAAGCGCAGGTAAACGGCGGGAGTAACTATGGATGGTACAATATGTAGTAATCCTTTATAAAAAAACCTTTCGTGCGATGATATTTTCGTAGTAAATAACAATTGCGGTGGCGGGTTCCGGTTCTGCTGGGATGTTGGTGCTGACCATACGGCTGTGACTGGTGTCATGAATACTATTGGAATTTGGGCCTGTTGTTCGCCATAAAATCCCGGCCACATTGAATTAAAGCCGTGGAGAGGGGTCCTATGAACGCCCCACAGCACTGTCTGTCACGGGTAGGCCTGTATTTGCTCGAGAAGGTGAGAACTGTCTCTCTCCAGCTTGGGTGCCAGTGTTAGAGATGGAGATTGAATAAACCTGGCTTTTTCCAGTGTGGATGCGTCTCAAGCTATCATAAATGGTTCCGGACCTCACGCGACCTGAAAGGAACACGGACCAATATCTGAGCCTTGCGCTCAAAATTTATGTTAGAGGTATGGCTTGCCATACTTGATCACAGAGGCTATGTCATTTATCAATAAGAGGAACAGAATATGGTAAAAAAGCTACCTTGTATTAAATCACTAGTTATTAGCTTTGGTGAAGATAGCTGGTGGGTGATTTCCACTCACTGCTCTGTTACTGTGAGAAAAGAATTTATCCATTTGAGAAGCTTTCCAGTTATTCCATATGATTTCAGATTTTTAGGAGTGTTATATATGGGACTTTATCAAAGGCTTTGCTAACGTCGAGAAATAATGTTGTTACTGAATGGCCATTATCTGTGCATTGTGTAATGTAGTCAAAATAATCCAAGTGGCGAGTAATGCACAAGCTTCTTCTTAGGAAACCGTATTGGGATGGGGATAGTAGGTCATTTTAGAGCAAGTACATGAAATTTCAGACGTGCTGTTGATGGGGCGGTAGCTGCTAATATCAGCTATAGGCCCGTATTTGTGGATGGGTACAATTTAAGACTTCTTCCAGCAGGTGGGATATGTCCCATCACTTAGTCAGATTGAGTATAACTCGAGTAGGAGTAAATTCATGCGATAACCACAGTTTTTCGTAAGTAGTTGCTGTATTGTCAATTTTAATCAAATAATTAAGTTTTGTAAGACCAGGATCACTATGCAATCTATGCGAGTTTCAGTCTTCTTTGCGAAGGTGTTTGGTAGACGACAAGGGATTGTATGAAGTTTCATAAATTTTTGAGTAACTTATTGGAAAATGTATTGCGTACTGAAGATGATCCCGATTACTGTGCTAAAGTACATCCACGTTTTCACGTTCTAATATGTGCTAACGCTATACACGGTCAACGACGAACAACGTTGTATTAAGAAGCATGAGTGAAAACCTGAAATGATGTACTGTTAACGAAATCGAATTTCAAAAGCTCGATGTGAACGAAAGGTGCGTAACCGCGTAAAATATATGAATAACAAA